AGACGTTCCTCTGCGAGGTGCGGGCCCTGCCGCCTCGCCGGGGAGGGCCGGAGGTCTGGGGTCTGCCGGGCCCTGGGCAGGAGAGCGCCGGAAGCCGAGGGCGCAGGGAGCGCTTGGGGCGGGCAGGCGGCGGGAGGCTTGGCCGTTTTGCAGCCGCAGTGTCCGGGCTTCTTGTGCGCGGTGTGACGTGCCGTAGTGGGCTGGTGAGACTAACGCAGCCTGGCGCAAAGCTCTTGCAATAAAGAGGAGTCGGTTTTCTTAGGGGTGATGTGTGCGTTTGCACCGCGTGGGGGACCCTTCTTGAAGTTAAAATTGTGGGCGGAGGGGGGCTGCGCGTCACCGTCGTGAAGAGCTTTGGCCCTCTCTTCAACTTGATTTGAGATGTGTTAAAAAAATCGCTGTTGCATTGGCCGCTAGTCTGCACTGCTACAGTATCGCCCTGTTCCTGGCTCCGGGGGTTGTGGATGTGCTGGCGAGGAGCTTTGAATCCAGGCTGGCTCTGAGAAGGAGCTGGTGCTAAGTGCGAGGCTCTGTGCAGAATGGGTTAGTTCGTGAGCAGTGCCGTAATTTGCTCTAAACACCTTGAATTTGTCAGTTTACCCTTCCTCCCCCGTTCATCTTCTCCACCAGTAACGAAACTGAGAAGCACAGCGATATTAAATCAATTTTAAAGGTATTGGAGCTGACAGTAACCCTTACTCAGATGAAGTGGTTTTATGGACAGTTACATTGTTGTTCTGGTTTTTGTATGTTGATGCCCTGTGAGCATCCATAGAAAATTAACAGTGAGAGGATAGGTCTCACTAAAACTTTCTCTTTTGCTAATTTTCACAAGGGTTGTGAATCCCGTTCGGTTATGGCTGGTGATACCAGTGTCCTGGTAGATGATAGTCTGCTGAAAGTGGAAGCTCATCATGTAGAATCCGTTAAGCAAAACACTCGTGGAGTGTGTTGTTTGATGAGCAAATGCGTATTGGCTCCTGGTGTGATTCTGCACCAATTCGAAGGACAAATGCAGTCTGGCATTAGTGGTGTATGAAACCCTGGTTTTCGGACTGGCTGGGATGTTATCTGCAAGTCTGCTTGCTTTTTTTTTTTTTTTAAGAACAACTAACTATAGTAAAAAGCTGGTCACGTGGTCAGCAGAGTGAAGAGTGGAAATCGGAAGTGCGTAAGTGACCTGTGCAAGTGAAGCTGAAATGAAATGGAGCTTCTGAGTGTAAATGTAAAAGAAGGACAGTAACTGTTTAAGACGAGGGGCAGTGGTTGCAGAAAAGCAGGTGTAAAATATCTGGTTAGTCTGAATTTTGAGTAAATTTCCTGTCATCAAGTGTTTGCAGCAGCCTGTCAGGTAAGCTAGCTGGATATAAAATTGCTACTCTAAAGCTTGGCTCGAAGCTTATGAAATAAATTGCATCTTGCTAGCTGTCATAATGTGGAGCTGCAGTAGAGGGGACGCAAGCTCACTCCAGTCCTTGGTGTCTGAGAGTTTGATATTAAAGCTGAGGTACATGAACCTGGGCAGAGTTTGCTGCTGGGTGTTGGCATTATCCCTTCCCACACTGATTCATTTTCTTCAACAAGGTTTTGGGAAACACTCATGCTCTCTGAGAATGGACTGTGGTTCTTTTCTTTAATAGGTATAAGGTATACGTTCAAAACCTACAGAAATACAGATATGTATGATATGTAATGATACATAGTAATAATATTTCTCCTCTACTTATTAGCAACAGAAATTTGGTGTTTCAGTATTACTGAGTTTTAAGACCCTTTCAGTTGCACGTGCCACAGGTCTGTATTTATTTGCAGGTTCGAGTGGAAGGCTTTAACTACATCGGCATGGGCAATTCCACCAACAAGAAAGATGCGCAGAGCAACGCTGCTCGAGACTTTGTCAATTACTTGGTTCGGATGAATGAAATGAAGAGAGATGAAATTCCTGCTTTTGGAGTAAGCTGCTCTGTCTCCTTACCAAAGGCTAATCTTTCATTGCAGTGCTGTGCATCCGGTTGCATTTCATTCCTGGAGTTCTGTCTGGCACCCGTGTGCCGTGAAGGAGACTGAAAGTGCAGGACTCCTGCTTGCAATGCTGGGGAGTTGGAATACATACAGTGAATGTTGTAGGGTGATCTGGTGAAAACAACTGCGTGTTGGTCTGTGTAACTGGTGAGGCTGGGGAGAGCTCAGGGTTCCTGTAAAGTGCAGCCCAACTTTAGAAGTGCTGAGTACTCATGCCAGGCACTGGGAATTATTTAAAATGCATATTATGATACATAGTGCTGTGTAGTTTTAAAAAAAATAAATCACAGACATAACCAACCAGACATTGAACATTTGGCGCTTTTTAACTGTAAAGGCTTTCTGCCTTAGCTCCTTGTGTGTGTAACAGGATCACTGCTTTTTATGAGGTTTTATGAACCATGCAATTATCAGCAATGACTATCACGTAAAAGTTGAGGAGGAGGGTGACTCTTATCTTTACAGCAACGTAGAGAACAGTAAGTAAAGCAGGAAGCTACATGTTATAAGTTAGGAGGTAAGAGTCGTTTTCTAGTGCCTCGTTAAGCATGTATCTATAAGATACATAGTTTGGTCAGCAGAAGCAGTGTCCCTGCCTCGTTAGCCTTGGTGAAGCCTTATGGTAACAGGACCTGTATTGTTTCTGCTGTACCAGTTAGTTTTATGGCAATGCAGTGTGCTGCATGGCTGGGTCCTAAGTAGGGCTAGCATGTTCTGTGTCTTGAATAAAGCAGAGGTGGTGTCATCAGTTAGCTAAGCATACACATCTCAAAATGGGAAGAATTCAAATTGTAATGCTTAACCATAATTTTGACATTTCCTAAAGGTATTAATGTTTTCTTAATGGTGGGGTTTTTCGTGTGTTTGTAGAGTATATTTGAGTTCCCTTGGATACACTATAGGGACCGGTACCTGTTATTTTTTCCTGCGTGCTGAAACAGTTGGTATTATAATTGCTGAACTTCAGTAAGTCAGGGCTGCTTGCTGGTTTAAAGTGCTTTTATAGAACACCTACAAAAAAGCCAAATATTCAGCAGTTGTATTCCTTTCAGTTTTTGAAAGGGTGTTACTATTGGGGGTTACTACTGGGTGTGACCTTTGCATAATGATGCATGATCTTTTTAAACTGCCTGAATGGTTTTCTAGCGAAATAGTAAAAAGACTTATTCTGTACTGATGTGCTGATATTTCCCTTCATTCTCTCTCCTAGCTAGCAGCTGGTGATACCCTTGATGGACATGAAGCAGCTAGAGATGTTACTGGTTCCAGTTCTACTTTGGGTGGACCTCTTCCTCCACATTTGATTATAGAGGCTGAAACAGGTAAGACACTGAAAACTGTAATTTATGTGTATGTGGATGTAATAGATACATATAGATATGGGTGCGGGTTTTTTTTCTCCCAGACAGCATAATTCTGCAGACAGAAGACAGTTAGAAGTCATCGTGGTTTTGAGGCAGAGGTGTGGATGACCGCATGAGATCTGAGGGACGGGTCATGTGCTGTTGAGATTGCCAGGCAGTACCTCTGCCTTGCTAAGAACTCTCCTGAAACATATTATTTTGATTTTGGTTTTGTTTTGACACGTGGTAGGCAATGGCCCAGGTGCAGCACCGGGGAACTGTGGCAGTCACGGAGCTCAGTGGGATCGGGGTGCAAATTTGAAAGATTACTATTCAAAGAGAGAGGAGCAAGAAGTGCAGGCAGTAAGTCATTCTATGTAATTCTCCTTTACTTTCGTTCTTAAATAGGTATCTTTCACTCCCTTTCGTTTGTTATTAGTAGTTGTAATCAAGCTTGCAGTTTTCATTTGGTATTTTGCTGTTGTTTTTAACTTATGCTGCAGATTTACCTGCTGGCTTTTAACAACGGTGACTTGTTTAAGCTAAGAACAAAATAAATCGCTCTGGATGCTGCAAATATCCAATTGTATAGACATTTTGTTGTGAAAATAAGGAAATACTGAGGAATTTTTAGCTTTTTCTGTTATGAAGTCTTAACTCTTTTATAGCAACTAGACAAGTTATTTCAAATACTTGTAAGAATGTTTAAAACTGAAATGTATTAGAAACCAGAAAAGTATACTTTTTTTTTTTTTTCCCCCCCAATATTAGACCTCAGAATCAGAAGTGGACTTAAATGCTGATCTTCACGGGAGTTGGACTTTGGAAAATGCCAAGGCCCGTCTGAACCAGTTTTTCCAAAAGGAGAAGATTCAGGAAGAATATAAATACACTGAAATGGGGCCTGATCACAACAGGTCTGGTAGTTTTAGTCACCTTCTGCGTATGAAGGGTGACAATGGTTAATTACACTTGCTTGCAGTGCTCCATAGTGCCATTTGAGAAACCAGTGTTCTTTTCGAGGACCAACGCCATCCCTAAATCTTGAAATGGGGGTGATGAGCCTTGGTGCAGAGATCTGAGTGACTAAAGAAATTTGTCTGTTTTTTTTGTTGTGGATGCGCAGCCATTAAAATCGTTGCTGTGCTCTTGCCAGCTGTTGAGGGGTCAGTTTTAATGGGAAGAAAAAAAGTGCTCAATTGCTTGCAATAATTGTTTGTGTGACTGTAGTTGCCTTTGTACATTTTGAGTAAATCTTAAATGTGCTTACATTTGCTTATGTAGAAATGTCTTTAAGGACATTTTATTTATATTTTTATTACAATTAACTTTTTTTGGCAGCGGAATTTTCTACTGGAAGTATTAGTTTGGTAGAATCTTCCCAAAGGAGTTTTGAGGGTTTTAACTTTCAGTTGAAACCAGCTGGATATTACTCTTTTTTTGAGTTTCTGCCCATTTCATCAGAAAATTTGCGTGTATTTCTCCCAAATGAAAATAACAAATAACAGATTGTGCATAAAGAATTGATGGTTTTTATTTTCTCACCCCTGTTTGGAATAGTCTTACAAATAGATTTACAAATCATCAAAACTTTAGGACATTGTATTATTTCTGGTGAAATATAATTATGTTTTGTGGTCAGTAACAATGGCATGCTGCTGGATTCTTATTGTTGGGTTTTGAGGGTTTTTTTTAGCATTATATAAACTTGTGTTCTATGAGAGTTACTATTTTCAGAAGGACAAGTGAATTTTCTTATTACAGTCTTCCGTGAGAGTCTCACTTGTGGGAGTTCTGATGTTCTTTTGTTGTGAAGTCTTACAAGCATTTAGAGCATCTAAAATGCGTGTGTTGGTGTCAGAACATTTTAAATTCTCATTTAAAACCTGTCTTCAAGTCACTCATCTCCATTTATGTTTTCAAGCAAGGACGTATCTTTCCCTTAAATGAGTAACATAAAAAATTAGTTTGTGCAGTACTAGGAATTTTAAATATGCTTGTTGCAGATTTAGTTCTTGAGCACTTCTTTGATTCTGTAACTTGCAGAATATTTGTGCAGCTCATTTTTTTACGCCTTCTGCAGGTAAAAATATTAAACCCCATGTATTTATGAATGAAGTGACCATAGATGACAGTATGTTTCTCAGCCTGGTTACTGTTCTTCCAGAGAGCATTTCAGGGTTTCCTGTTTATTACATCCAGGAAAGCTTGTGTGAAATGCCCTGGGTGGAATGGCAGAAGGGGGAACTAATTATCTGCTGCAATGGATTGGATAGGCTTGAAACAATCCTAATGTGTTCTAGCATTCATTGAGAGAGGGCAAACTATTGGATTTAATCCTTGTGGTATGTATAACAGGAGAGGAATAATTTCAGATGTTTTTGGAGTTTTGAGGACAGTGATATAGTTTGGTTGGTTTTTGTAAGAAATACTGATCACCATTTATCTTACCAATCTAATTTTTTTAGTTTTAAGTAATGGGCTTTATAACAGAAGTGTCAGCCTTGGTTTCAGCTGGTTTTTTTTTAAAGGAGAAATGTATTTTTGTTGTCAATTAATCATAGTCACATGGTATAAGAACTTAGTGATAGCTGGAAAATTTGGATTTGGAAACTTTGTTTTAATTGCAACGGGAGGGTATAAATCATAAATATAAACCTGGCTCTCCTACTACGTGAAGTATGAACTAAATATTAAGGGATGGGATATGGCTTTTCTCTTTTGGGATTCCATTGGTAGTGTGGGATGCCTTTGCCTCCTTGTGTAAAAAAGCAAGCGGCACCAAAGATCTGTGCATGTTGACACACGGGCTGCTGAGGCTGTGCTAAACAATCACGTGGGATTCTGCTGCGAACTGATGTCCGGTGTTGCTGTTCTCCCCTTAGGTGGAGGAGAATGAGATTGAATGCTGACTATAGGCCTGGCTGAGAAACATACTGTCATCGGTGCCTTAGTTGGCTGTTGTGTCCCTGAAAGCCAGTGGCCTTCGACCCATGAAGCCACTGTGCCTGAAGGTCAGTTCACTGGTAGTACAGGAAGGAGTTCTAACTTAAAATTTAAATCCCTCGCTTAACCTTTGTTTGTTTGTTTGTTTACAGCAAGAAATGAAGGACACAGATGCTAGGCTCTGCCTGCAGCTGTGGAAGTACCAAGGCACAGTTTTCAAAGAGGATCTCAGTCTGATAAAGCCCAGTCTTACATCTGAATCACATTTGCCAGTTTAAACCCTGTCTTATAAGAATTTGGCTTTAATTTTTAATCTGTGCAAATACAGGCTTTGGTTTGTGGCCCTTAAGAACATGGGTCTTGGTTTCCATTATCCTTTGTTGACATATGGCTTTCTCATTTTTGTTGAGCTTAAATTAATACACCAGCTGACCTCTAAATTAATTGGTTACATGCCTGCTAGGCAAACTATGACATTTGCTGCGCAGAGTTACTTTTGACTATGTGCTGTTCCCAGAGTATGGCAGTGAAGGCTTCATGAAATTCGAGTATTCTGTCTCCTTCTGCACAGATTTATTCAATGGTCTTTGACAAAATGACCTGGTTTAGTTTTGCCTGTGCTCTGAGCTGGCCAAATATGTGGCAAAACCCATGGTAGCTGTATTAAGTGTTTCATTTGCGTTGTTAAACCCAGGCTACTGGTGGGTTACTTTAGTATAACGTGGGGTACAGTGAAACGGTACAGTGGGGTGCAGGTTAATGTTGCATTAACATGCTATCTGCTTTATAATTACTGCCTTAAACTTAGACAGATCAGATCGTATTTCCTAATAATGTGGCTTTAAATTTCGGTGATGAATGGTGACATTTGCAGGACCCTTCTTAACCAGATCTACTGGTTCTAGTCGTTGCAAGTCTGTTACCTACTGACTTGGGGTTAAGGGGACTAAAATTCGTAATATTGTACCTTGGCCGCTGAGTTGAGAGTTTCTGTCTGAGGACACAGAGATCTTTGGCTAGAGAAGTTGGATAGAGTGGATATTTTTTCAGTGTCAGCTATTGATAATTGTACTTTTGTGTTCGTTCTTTCTCTTACAGGAGCTTTATCGCAGAAATGAACATTTACGTGAAGCAGCTGGGCAGAAGTAAGTGTTCCTATTTATTTCTTATCTTAGCAAGAGGTGGGTGTTGGTACAGAGGAATAGGTCATACTCATAGGTACAGACTTTTGTAGTTATGTGTTGGAGCCATTTTCAGAGGTGAAGGTTCAGGTTTGTTTCCTGACATAAAACCTTTTTTCTGTGTGCTGTGCTTGTTGCATTCTACTGCTTGTCCATTACAGGCTTCCACTGATCTCTTCTGTCAGCACAAAAAAACGCTCATGAGATGCAGTAGGTTTTGTTTGTCTTAATTACTTGTTCTTTACGTGTCTGATACGTATTTAATGTGTTCCCAGGCAATTGGGCTGCTGTCCATAGCATACCCATTTACGTAGAGCTTGCTGTGAGCTTTGTACGATGTTGGTGGGTGGTATAGGATAATCCTGCTTCCTTAGGCACTGAACGCAGGAAAAGCTTTACAGGAGTTCTCAGGGTGTCAGTAAGTAACATTAGACAGCTAGTGTGAGTCAGCTGATGAAGGGGCCTGGTTGGATTTTATGTTAGAACTCTGCATTTATCAAGATTTGAGACTCTTTCCGTGAAACCTGGCCTGTGTGAGCAATCAGAAAGCTCATTTCAGAGTAGTATCTTCTGTGGAAGCTGTTTGACTCGTTAGCTACTACGGCTCTGATTTTGTGTGCCGCAGGGATTTTCAGTCGTGAACATGGATCAAACAAAAAGCTGGCAGCACAGTCCTGTGCCCTTTCCTTGGTTAGACAGCTCTACCATCTTGGTGTCATAGAACCTTATTCTGGACAGACAAAGAAAAAAGGAGAATCGGTGAGTTTGGTAGAAGAGTCAGAACTTGTTGCTTTCATTTTAATAACACACAAGCACTCTCTTATCAAGATGTGTGAGTTAGAGTTTGCTCTCAATATTTAATAGCTTACAAGTTAATAATAATTTTGATTATTTAGAAATAGGACTTAATGTGTATGTGACTTGAGCAGTGAACTAGTTTTACAGCATATTAAATGAAGTAGGATTTGTAATTGCTTTTTTCAGTATAAATTTTCTACAAGTAAAGATTTCTGTTTATGCTACATACAATTCTCAACTATTTTCCTCTGGCACATTAGCATTTTTTTTGTATTTGGTTACAAGTTTGGGTATGTTTTAATCTGAAATTAAACTCAGATATTTTAAATTATTCTACAGATTCCCGTTGGATGAAAAGTCAGCAAAAAGTTTCAAGAATGTGAATTTTGAACTGATGGTACTCTTTGGCCTTGTTTGATGGTTCAGTGTACTCTCTCATACCCTGCAGTTCTGGCTTCCATTTTCTGTCTTTTTGTGTATATCAACATGTAGTTTTTAAACATTTAATAGGTGGAACCCTATGAGGTGTCACTGTCTTCTGACTTAGAAAATCAGCTGCAAAAGACTGTACGGGAACTGTCTCTGGAGATTGTGCCTTTGGTGAGTGTGTGGTTCAGATACTCCAGCATTTAACATCAAGCCTGCTCATTTAATGCATTTATCTATCTTTGCCCACTTTGCTTTTGGATTTATAGCCTGAAGATCCCAGTAATCCGGTTCTGATTAACGTTGGAAAGTTGGCCCATTTTGAACCGTCACAGAGACAAAGTCGTATGGAAGTTGTTCCATGGTCACCTCCTCATTCCAACTGGAACCCTTGGACCAGCTGCAATATTGATGAGGGCCCGCTGGCAAATGTAAGATAACTTAAAAAATTGATTTGTTGTTTGTTTTCCCCATGCTTCTGGAACTTTTAAATACTTTTTTCCCCCAGGATTTAAAGTATGCGCTATTCCAAAGGAGAAAACTGTCCACTGATAAAATTTCTTCCCTTCTTGACCTGGAGGAAGGGAGTCTTTTCATTGGTAGGAGTTCTTTGTATTTACTTCATGTTTTATTAGGTTCTTGAGCAGCAGTGTCTTGGATGTCCCAATTCTTTGCTTTGTTTCACTTTTTGCCTGCTATTGTGCAGCCCATACAAAGTTCTAATTGAAATTACAAGGTAAGTTTATGGGCATGTCATTTATAATTCACTAGCCTCTCTTTCCCATATTTCCATGCTAGGTTGTTCTTTTCTGGGAGGAGAAACTACTCCAAGCCAGTATCACTACGCAATCAGCCTGCTTGCTTTTTTTGGTCATTTCTAGTCCCATTCACCACAGAACAAATGAAAAGCAGCAATGTGGCATGATAAAATGAGGAAGCAAGGAAGAAATGCTAGGTTGCCAAATTCAGAGTCATAATTTGGCTACTGATATAACCTGGTCAGAAAAGACTCTCAGGGCAGGAACTTCAGTTTCCTACAACAGGAAACCAGAAAACTTATGACAAAATAGTAATTTAATACTACTTTTGGCTGCAGCTTTTTTCCATAAAAGACATAAATTTAACATTGATCATTATATATTGATTTAAAAAATATGGAACTGATAAAATTTGAGTGTTGCTGCTTAAAACACATAATCAATATATTTATGGACGTTGCAAATTGAGCTGGCTTCAAATCCCATTAGGATTTTTATGTGCTAGTCGTGGTGCAGCTAACTTATTTTCAGTAAACCCATTAGCCCTGTGGTAACAAATTTTAATTTCCTTAGAATTCTTTCTGATTTGAAATACAAGACTTGCCTGATAAATTTCTCTCTCTGCTCACTTTTCCCTTTTCAGCTACTGTTCTGTGGGTGGTTATGTGCTTACATTATCTCATTCCTTGCATTAAAAACTCCTCTGTGAATGATCATCTAAGTATCTCGTTGGCTTACAGCTGAGTAGAGTGTGTTTCACAAGCAGTTAAGAGTATTTAAATTTAAACAATCATACTTTTTCAGTATTTTGGATCTTTCTGAGAACCTTCTTTGAGGATGGCCATTTCATTTTAACACACTGGAATGAATGAAAATAAAAGCTCATAGGCATAACTGATTTCAGGGAGTTCTGTAGGACATTATCCTTTACTGATATTTGGAATCATTATGTTGTTGTGACTGATTTTATATTGAAGTTATGATATAGATAAGCAGGGGGGTGAAAAAGCCTCTGAAAAATGTCTCGTCTTTACAGCTCAGTCCAGAGCAAATAAGCATGGATTTGAAAAGTGATTTGATGTACCGTTTGGAGCAGGATCAAGAATTACAAAGGGTAAGTGTGCTTCCTGTAACACGGCGTGCCTGCACTCGTCGTTTTCCTTTCCAAAAGGGGCTGAACATGTCGCACACAAAGTGTGTAAGACTGGACTTCAGTAGTAATACACACCAAGTCTTCAGAAGTGCTGGATGTTACACTGGGATGGATGTGGTGATGTGTTGTGCTGTGTATGGAAAAAAACACAACCCGTGATTTGGTCTGAAACAGTTTTTCCTGTGAAAGAAGAGTGAGACAAAGTATGGATGTGGAACAGAATAGGTTGATTTTTTTGGAGATTTTTGGTAACATGCTGGATTTTTTTTTCCCAGATCCAACAAGAGAGAGAGGCCTTACCTGTGAAGAATTTTGAAAGTGAAATTCTGGATGCAATCCGGCACAATTCTGTTGTTGTAATTCGTGGGGCCACTGGTTGTGGCAAAACCACACAAGTGCCACAGTACATCCTGGATGAACACATCAAAACCAACAGAGCTGCAGAGTGCAACATAGTAGTGACACAGGTGAGGAATATGTTACAAATGCAACCACTTAAGTTTTGTGATCGGATGCTATAAATCACCTATCAGGATGTGTTGAGAAATCTGATTATCATTGCAGGACATTGTTCATAAAAGTTTCTCCTCAGTACTACATGTAGGAGAAACCTCAGCATCACGTGTATTTTGTGTGTTATTCTTTCATATATCTAGAACTGGGATAATCTGGCTTGTACCTTGCCCAGGTGAAAATTTTTTGGCAGACTGAAGGGAAAAGATTTGGCAAATGCCAGCTGTAGTTCCTGTATATCCTTATATCCCTCCTCTGTAATGTGCAGAATTAACCATTTCAGAAGAAAAAAGGCTGCTGTTATAGATACTACAGTTTAATTACTACTCTGTGAAGAAATCTTAGGACAGGACACCTATAGCGTTTATAATTTACTTTCTTGGTTTCAGTGGTGTTCTGATAAACTTATACAACCTCATCATTAAGTCAGGAAAAACTTTTTCATCCCTCAGCCTCGGAGGATTAGTGCAGTTTCTGTAGCAGAGCGTGTGTCATATGAGAGAGGAGAACAACCTGGGCAAAGCTGTGGATACAGCGTGCGATTTGAGTCTGTGCTTCCTCGGCCGCATGCCAGTGTGATGTTCTGCACTGTCGGTCTGTATTGTTTTGTTTACATTTGGATATTAGTACTTGTGGGTTTAAATTCTTTGAATTAGCGGCAAAAGCAGAAATATGGTTAGATTAAAATTTTTAGAAAGTCTGTTCAAAAGATTAAAAAGGGTTTTTTTGGATAGAAGAATTTTGCTGACATGCTGTGCAAAGAAAGATTAAGATTGTTGTTCAGAAGTATGGTAATGCAGGTCTAATACCACACAGAAATGATCTCCTGAAGAGATAAAATTGCCATATGTTGATTGTCCTTAAAAGACAGAAGGGGAAGTGAAGTATTGGGTGGGAAAGAAGGAGTCTTTCTGGTAGTAATACTTTATGCCCTTCCCATCTCTTGTACAAACAAAAGCATGGCAATTGGAGATGGGGCTGTAAAAGGTGCTGGGCAGCCTGTACCTTTTAAACCAGCACAACTATTCTTGATGAAAGGAGATGGGGCTGGGCGGGATATTAATTTGTTACTTACATGAACATTTAAGTATTATGTCTGTTTAAGGTGTTCTTCTGAGAAAGGTGGAGGCTGGGATCCGTGGCATTAGTCATGTTATTGTTGATGAGATCCATGAGAGAGACATTAATGTGAGTTATCTGGTGATTATGATCCTATTTCCCTCTGTGCTTCTGTTCTGTTTAGCTTTTATATGTGTAATAGTAAACATGTAGAGGAAACTGCGTTTTACTAATTGCCATATATGTGAGTTTTCCATCTTTGGTAAGATTTTTAGAAGTTCTCTTAATTATGCCTTACCTGATGAAAAGAGCAAGGACTTGCAGTTACTTGCTGTCCTGTCTCTTTTGCCTGTTAGGATTTCCTTCAATGTCCTGGTCCTCTTTGGAAACAGAACACCATGGTACAAGCACTTCTTGTCCAAATGTGGGAACACATTTTATTTACTTTTCAGTGCTGTTTTTTTTACTGACAATCTTGTATTACTGTAGTGGAACAGCAGTAATATTTCCAGAAGCTGCCGTCTTGAAAGTGACACATTTAAATTTGGGGTTGATACAAAGAAAAATGCAACAAGTGGAAAATAGAATTGGGGAAGGAGTTGTATGTAACTTAAGAAATGGGAAACATTTTCTGTCCCCTTGATTCTTCTGTATAGTTTTCAGCTTTGCCACACCAAGAGTGAGAGAAACTGCTAAGTTCTGACATGCTGTTTAAGCTTTTTTTGACACAATTTGGGGACTCATTTAAATGGAATTGATTTTTCTGATCTCTTCATCTATTGAGTTTGTATTAATGATGTAAAATACAAGTTTTCAAATTTTGAATGAGATTGGAATTTTGTCTGTTGAACTAGGAGCCTGCCTAACTGCATGGCAAAACTAAATAAACGTCATGTTTAAACAGAACTATAATACTTCGCATACAATTGCACTGAGTCATTCGTATTTATTTTATGAACTATGGCTGCTTTATACGTAAAACAAGTTTAGAAAGACTTTAGGTTGTAATGTGTTGTTGGGAAGGAAGCAAACTATTTTTGAATGTTTTTCTTTAGTTTATTTCATTCTGATAAATGAATAACTCCTCTTTACAAGGGAAATCCTAAAATTTGCTTACCTCAGGAACTGCAGATTTTGCAAAATAAAGCACTGACAACTGTTTCTGGTTATAGAATGTTATTGCGATAATTGTTACTTCTCTTGCCCAGCAAAGCTCCTGCTCGGTAAATGTATGTATCTGAACAATTCTGGTCTCTTGGGAAGATGTTGTTTCTTATGGGTAGGAAATTAATGATGTTTTAATTCTCTTTATATGCAGACTGACTTTCTCTTGGTGGTGCTGAGAGATGTAGTTCAGGCATATCCTGAAATCAGGGTTATCCTCATGTCTGCCACCATCGATACTACTATGTTTTGTGAATACTTCTTCAACTGTCCTATCGTTGAGGTCTTTGGTAGAACCTACCCTGTCCAAGGTAAATCATTGATTGAACTTTCGGGAACGGCTTTAGTTTTTATTTTGTCATATGCTTTAAGATTACGGGTATGGCAAGATACACATTTCTTTTGGATTGTCACATCTTACAGATGTGGCTTACCGTGGGCAAAGAAGTCAGTAACACCAAATCATTTCATGGGACCATTTGGTTTAAAACCAAAACCAACTAAACAAACAATACTACTGCTTGCCGCCCCCCACCCTCCCAAAAGACCAACAAACAAACCCCACAACACAAAACCCCACCACCCTAAAACACTGCCACTTGGGATAGTTTCCATTGGAGAATGAGATAGTAGTAGTCAAGCTGTGGTGTTTCAGATCAGTTGTCTGTGATGTTAGGAATAATGGAAATAGCTTTAGATGAGCCAGTACTAAAAACAAACAAACCAGAATAAACATTGGAATAATGTGGGAATAATTCTCATGCCCTAGCTGACAGCCAAAGATTTTTCTCCAATCGTGGCTTCATACTCTGAAACGTCACAATTATATCAGGAGAATTTTGAGAGATAATAAAAAGAATTGTGTTCCCTTACATAGGCTTCTGGTGGTCAGTGTTGATAGCCAATGCTTGTCTGTCCTTGCAGATTATTTTCTGGAAGATTGCATTCAAATGACTCAGTTCATTCCTCCACCAAAGGAAAAGAAAAAGAAAGAGAAGGATGAAGAAAGTGGTGAAGATGATGATGTATGTTTAACTTTTTTAGTTTGAAAATTTAAACAAGTGCCAGTTAGGACTCTTGCTTAAGTGTAATTCATTTGGCATTGTTGAACCTAAACATTTTTAGCATATTTCATATTTTTAATATCCAAGACTGCCATTAACTTTACAAATAGAATTGAGTTTTCTCATTGCCCTTGTAAACTGAAGAATTTTTTTTTTTTTGGAAGCTAAAATTCTCATGTTTCGTCAGCCTACTTCTCTTTAAAGATAGAACTGGCATGCTTTTAAAAGTGAAAAGACTGGAAGAAATAGATACAGAAGTATGAGCTTGGTGATACCTTTTCAGGGTGAAAATTCAGATTCTCTCCCTTCTCTTGCAGTTGATTTTGCTAGAGCTTACATACATTGTCAAGAAACTATCGCTTTCCTGATACAGCTTTTAATTTCTAGGTCTGAAACTACTGTTTAGGTCAGTTATCTGATGATGAAAAACTGGTCATTTTTTTTTGAGAGAAGCATTTTCTTCTCCTCCTTATGACATTATCCCCATTCATCTGAATGAAAGTTAAATTAGTTTGATAGCTTCCTGCTGCAAATTTGTGTGGAGTTATAACTCAATGCAATGGAATTATCTTTCAATTCTTGTATTAGAAAGCTGAGGAAGCAGAACTTGAACTGCTTATTGTGAGTCATTCTGTGAGCTGTGCCTGAGATGGTCTTCCGCACCAACTACCCGTGTATCTCATTTTCCTATTTGCCTGGCCAGCCAGTCTCCACAGTTTGAGTAAATTCATTTATATGATTTCTTTTGAGTTTTGTTTTTTGTTTTGTTTTGTTTTTTTGTAGGCCAATTGCAACCTTATTTGCAGTGATGAATATGGCCCAGAAACAAAGCACTCCATGGCTCAGCTGAATGAGAAAGAAACTTCTTTTGAACTCATTGAGGCCCTGCTCATTTATATCAAGACTCTGAATGTCCCAGGAGCTGTACTTGTTTTCTTGCCTGGCTGGAACTTGATATATACGATGCAGAAGCATCTAGAAATGAATCCACGCTTTGGTACAAGCAACTGTGTTCTATTACTTTTCATCTTTTCCAAAGGATACTATTGACTGTGTAAAGATGAGAGTTGGACAAACGGCTTAGAGAGCTGGATTAATTTGTTGTGAGAATGAACGGGTAGAAATGATTATGTTGTGCAAAGAAGAAATCAGGTTCACATAGTGGTAGTTACTGACCTTCTTGTATTCATGTTGTAGGAGGCCACCAGTACAGAATTTTACCTCTGCATTCGCAAATTCCTCTGGAGGAACAACGTCGAGTGTTTGATCCTGTGCCTCCTGGAGTAACCAAAGTATGAGCGCCTTGTCTGTGTGGAGCGTAACGTGCTTTGTTCTGTTGCGCTTTTGTGGAATGTATTGCTGCCTTTTTTTTTTTTTTTGTAGAAGTTATGTAGTTTATCTTGCAGTCCATCCTTAACTTTTTCAGACCAAATATATTTCAATATGCCTTTCCTGTTTTTCATAGGTTATTTTATCTACCAGCATTGCTGAGACTAGCATTACCATCAATGATGTGGTCTATGTTATAGATTCCTGCAAGTGAGTTCATGAAGTACCTTTTTGTTTTGTAAATCCTTTTCTTTGGAATGCAAAAAAGGCTTTCTGAACACACAGAACTGCCTTGTGTTCCCACAGTCACAGAGCTGAATTTGAGGACTCTAACTCACTCAAGACAAATTTGCATTGTCTTTAGCCATTCAGCACAGTTACAAACCACCCTGGCATTTCAGTGGGCTGGTTTTGGTCAGCTGCATTCACGCTGGCGCTATTCATGTGAGGTGTCACTGGGTCTCCATGCGTATTTGAAATATGTCATCTGCCAAATGAGTATTACAAACACTCAGTGTATAGCTGATGGAAAAAGAGGAAGATTTTTGTGGTCTGTTACAGATCCTGTCTTGCTATGCATGTTCTCTAAGCAGACTACACATGGGGATCTCATTAAGTGCATGAGAATTTTAAGCTTTTGAGACAGTTGTGAAGCTTGGGGCTTTATAGAGAGTATGATACTTCAGCTTCCAGAGAGACGCCTAACTAGCCAAAGCTTAGCTAGTCAAACAGGGGTGGTTTGCTTCTTAAAAGCGGTGTGGCTGCAAGGAATAACATAAGAACTGATTTGGCAGGACTTAATATGAAGAACATCTGATCTTAAGTGTTTTTTTCCCGTAACAGACAAAAAGTGAAGCTGTTCACCACTCATAATAACATGACAAACTATGCCACAGTCTGGGCATCGAAAACTAACTTGGAGCAGCGGAAAGGTAGAGCTGGACGTGTGCGTGCTGGATTTTGTTTCCATTTGTGCAGCAGAGCTCGATTTGAAAGGTGAGGCTGTGCTCTTTAGAAATAAAATAACTTCAGAGACTTCTCCCAGAACTGTTGTATGCTTCTTCTGATCAAACTGGGGAAATAATTTTGGAAAGCACAGAGAGGAGATGCATGACGTCAGTTCACACTGGAATGTATCACTTCTGTTGCTTAAAAATAATTTACATATGTTTATATGCTTTCACCCAGAGTATGAGGTGGATAGATAGTTCATGATATTGTTATTAAACTTCACTGCAACCTACAGAACCTCTCAGGAGAGAAATAATACTGCTTGGGGTTTGAGGTAAGGCAGAAAAGGAAGATAAGGCTCTAGTCTGCCTTCGCATGTTGTGAGCACCTGGCATCTTTGTGTAACAGGCAATTTTGTCATGAAAGTGATAAAAAAGCAGGGAAGACAGATGTTACTTTTCCCTCCATCCCAATTCTGTGTCCAGGAAGCCCCTTCATGCTGCTCTAGTATCTTCCCTACTGCTGAAACTTCTGACCTCTTCTGTCTGCCAAGCTGTTTCTTGGTTACTAGAGCCATGAAAATCTTTTTGCTGGTTGCAGAAGTCTACACAGCTGTTGCACTTGGTGTTTGATCTCTCTCATGAAAGTTTCAGTGCTCCTTTCTCAGCCATTAAAGCATAGCTGTGTTTCGATGTTCAACTTTTTGTAACTTTTCAAAGCATCAGTTGATCAAAAACTTTCCTTAAATTGCTCAAATTTATTTACTAGTACAGAGGAGTGATTTAATTAAGATTTTTTGACAGTGAACTGATTTTAGGCTACTGAGGTAATCATGGGACCTCATGACTTTAAGGTTACCTTCCTCCAAAGAATATAAAAATGAAATATACTAGGTCCATGGTGCCTAGGAAAGGAAGAGTGTTTGGGGACTTGGGCAAGTAATCTTTTGAGAGATACCATCTACCTGGACTTGTGCAAAGCCTTCAACACAGTCCCGCACAACGTCTATGTCTCTAAATTGGAGAGACATGGATTTGACCGGTGAATGGCTTAGTGGATCTGGAATCGGCTGGGTGGTCGCACTCAGAGAGTCACGGTCAGCAGCTCCACGTCCGAGTGGAGACCAGTGATGAGTAGCGTTCCTCAGGGGTCGATGTTGGGACCGGCACCGTTCAACATCTTTTGTCAGTGACATGCACAGTGGGATTGAGTGCACCCTCAGCAAGTTTGCTGACAACACCAAGCTGTGTGGTGCTGGCAAAACGCTGGAGAGAAGGGGTGCCGCCATCGAGAGGGACCTTGACAGGCTGGAGAGGTGGGCCTTGTGCAAACCTCATGAACTTCAGCAAGGCTAAGCGCAAGGTACTGCACCTGGGTCGGGGCAATCCCAGACAGACAGGCTGGGCAAGGAGTGGATTGAGAGCAG